CGCGCAGGACATGCTGGTGCTTACGCCAGGGTGCGGCATAGGAACCGGAGATGCTCCAGCCCCTTAAGGTGAACTGTTAAAATAGTTAGTGACAAGTTGGGCGAGTGTCATGATGGATACATGCCTGGCAAACCGGACTGGAAGTTCGTTGGCATGGCTCACTCGATGAAGTCGACGGGGTTGATAGCGTTGACGATGGCGACAGAGGTGGCCACGATTTGTCTGGTTGATGCAGGGCCATCGGGACCGCAGTATGATCGCAGGCGGCACATGCGCGAACTTGCGAATATGAGCTTGGGACTGGAAAAGGAGCACTAGTGCTAATATGTCTATATAGCACACGTGACAAGATATGTAAAACGGGTAGGAAACGATAAAATAAACAAGGAAGTAACAAATGAATATCCGTCCTGCGAGACGGGCTTCTGGTCGCCTGAATAGAAAAGTGGGTCTCCAATCGGAGACCAATAGGAGCACGACATGCGCTGTCAGGCTGGCTCCTTCACGCCAGGTATTTGTATTAACGGTGGGCGAATGTAGTCGTATGCGCGTTGCACGGTGAAAGCAGTGGATGGTGTGAATATGAGAGCAGTAAACCCGCGTCAGGGGCAAGAGGCAGCGACTTATGGCATGGCGAAGGCCACCGCCCAGCTTTAGGGTCTTCCAGAGAGTCTGCACCTCTGCCATTCTCTTGATGTCTTCATACTCAGCTTGAGTATATCGATATCTACATCATCTCCTTGTAATGGCGTCGACGATTGCGCAGCTTCTTCACACCCATCCGACTAATTATGTCCACGAAACAGGCTACACAACATCCACGAAGAAGGAATGGGCGAAGAAATATAAGCCCATTCGGAACGTCACTATTCATACGTCTGGCCAACGGGGGGAGGTTGTTGCGGGACTTTGGCGCCTTTCTTCCTGAGGAAGCAGATGACCAGCGTCGAACCTCCGTACTGGCTTACCCACCCAACCAACAATCCTGGCGAATGGATACCGAGGCAGACGCTAGGCATTGGTTCTATCATGAGGTTTCAGACGTCGTGATGCCAGCATTTGCGTCATATCCGCCAGTAGTTCAGGTGTCTGAAGCTAAGCCATTTTCTGAGGAAAATATTGTTCAGGTTGTGGACGACTCCTTTACGTTTAAACCGCCAGGCGGCTCTCAAATGCCGCTGGTTATTGGCGAGTTTAAGAGAAACATCGTGGATTATAACGAGTGGCAAACCGGGAAGATCGCCAGCTCTTTGCAGATAAGCCTCTCCCGCGAACTCCGAGGGTACGTCGTGTCGGCCTCCACACTAAGGTAGCGATGGCTTCGATTCTGATACCTCGCTTCGGCATAGATACGCCGTAAAATACAACTGCCCACAGGTCTTCTGCTTCGATGGATATACTCTGCTCATGCTCCAGTTTAAAGCCCGAAAGCCTGAAGCGATTGCTGACGAGGATTGCGATATTGACTGCTGGCTGTTCCGCCGACGGAACCCAGGTGGCACCACTCTTCGCTACGCCTTGTATAGGCTGCTTGCACAGGGACTCCGCCGAGTCCAGGGGCAGATGTCGCGAAGTCCAGCGCTCCTTAACAGCCAGGAATGCAAGTTTCGAAACTTTTACACTGGGGAGCCCATCTGGAAAATTGACGGTGTTCTGCACAGACATCCGTGGGGCATGTATAGAGCTGTGGATCCGAAAGATGGTTCTATATACTGGATGTACAATGGGCAGCCTGTCTGGGGTGAAGATGGCTTGCTTATTTTGGACGGCCCGCCCTTGTATACCTCATAGCGGGTATGGGGTTCATTCAGCCGAGGCACATTGCAGCAGTTGGTGATGCCTCTGTGAGTGAGAGATAGCATGTAA